CTTGATGCAGCGCGGCAGAGCGCTGCTCCACTGGCCACTGGCCAGGCAGCTAAGCTGACGCGGTCCCTCCATGCGGTATCCCTGCGGACAGCTGATCTCCGCCTTTGAGCCGAAGTAGGTGCCATTCGGTGCGTGGATGATGGTGTTGTAGTAGTTCCCTGGCAGCGTGTCACACTCCACAACTAGAGAGAGCAGAGAGCAGAGAGAGGGCAAGCATATGAGTAGGGTTGGACAGGGACAGGCACAGGCACTGGGATAGGTAGAGGGGTGAAGGTAACTTACTCTCACAGCGGGGCGGTGGTCCGTTCCAGCGCTCATCAAAGTCGCATGTGAGCAGAGCTCTCCCAATCATCTCGTAGCCCTCCTCGCAGGAGTACTTGACCAGACTCAGGTAGCCCACGGTGCTGTTCAGCAGGCCATAGGAGCCATGGGCGATGCTTGCCGGCAGTCCACATTCGATATCTAAGAGAGGGAGAGAGAGGTCAGTTATCATCCCAGGAGGAGGATGGATCTGCCACTTACACTTGCACACTGGCGGAAACTCGTTGTAGAAGCCCGTCTCCAGACAGGTGCGGGTGGCCGGACCCACAAGCAGGTGGTTCGAATCGCAGCTGTACTTGATCTGGGCGCCCACCTCGAAGCCGTTGAGGGCCACCATCGTGGAGTTGGGCGGCTGCTCGGGGCGGCCGCAGGTCTTCGGCTGATGCTGGCAGATGAAGTTCAGCAGCGTGTTGCAGTTGGTGTCGCTCCAAAGCCAGCCCTTGGAGCCGTCGAAGCGGGCGCAGTCCTCATCGCCGCCGGGGTGGCTCCAAAAGGAGACGGTCAGCTCGTCGCCGTTGACCCACTTCCAGCTGCTGCGGTCGCTGCCGTCGCGCACCGCCCCCATCCAGTACTGGGAGCTGACGTCGCTGCGATGGCGCCGCCACAGCTCCCAGCTGATGAAGCCCTGGAGGGCCGGATTGCTCTCGCTGATGAGGGTGCCGCCGCGCGAGCGGCAGAAGGAGAGCGCGTCCAGGAAGTTCAGCGGCTGGCGGTTGTAGAAGATGTAGCATTTGCCGTTGTAGGAGGCCAGGGCGCCCGGCGGCTGGTCCCGGAATGTGGGACACCGCTCGATGGGCAGGGCCTGGTCCGTGTAGACGAACGCCTCGCAAATGGACAGCGGATTGGGCGTGCTGTTCTCCAGATGAACGCTGACAAAGGCGCCCGGCATGGGTGGATTGCAGGGCAGGAACAGCGGCTGGCCGGCCTCCAGCAGGCCAGTGAACCGATTACAGATCGGGTTCGTCCCCAGATCCGGCCGATTGTTGCCCACACGCACCACAATGGTGGCCGGCTTGTTGCCTGCAATGTGCCCCGAATATTCCAAACACAAAGTACTGTTATTATTTCTCAGAGACATCACAGAAAGCCACTAAGTATATTCCCCTGCCCTGCCCTGCCTGGCGATGGCGATGGCTTTTGTCTGTCAGCGGGTCAGGTGGGTTCAGGCAAGTGAAAGTAATCATAAATTTCGGCCCGCTCTGACTCACTGGGTCTCCATCGTCGTCGTCGTCGTCGTCGTCTTCGGCGGCCCGAGCCACACGAAAATCACATAACAAGAAGCCGAAGATTCGACTTCAGGTTGCTGGCTGACTGGCTGGCTGACTGGCTGGCTGGCTGGCAAGTGAAAGCATTAGGGAAAAACTGGCTGGCAGTTGTTTGCTTAGCCGCTTTCGGCCACGGCACGGGCAATGGCAACCCTTTGCAGCCAGCTCCACTCACTCTCCCAACTGTTGACTGCTCGAGAGCTGTTGAGAGCTCCTCCGTGGCATCGTGCAGCGTTTGCCATTTGCAGATAGACAGACGGACAGACGGACAGAGCGACGGATTGGCAGGCCTGGGAAAACGGGGCATTGAACTGTCCATTGGGCGAGAGAGTCCCAAACAGAATGCGGTCCAGGCAACTCTATTACAGAGTGGGCTTTTTATGCGCGGGACAGGTTTACAATGTGTTCATAATGTTCGGTTGCAGTTTAACAAAAGCGAAACGCGGCTGAATTCAATCAATTCGCAGCAGACAACGGCGAGCGGCAAGCAGATATGATGATGATGATATATCCTGCCACAGCGTATCCCCCAGTTAAACGGAGCAGGCACAGGAGCACTGGCAGAGGCTTCTACTGGCTGACGAGACCAAACCCCAAAGGGGGTCTTGTACGGCTCGTAAGAGCGTTTAAGGATAAGGGAAGGCCTATAGACTACGAGTACTTACCGCAACAGGATTTGCCAAAGTCCAGACGCACCAGCTGCACCATGTAGGGCTCCAGGAGGTTCACATACCACCAGGGGGAGCGCTCCGATTTGGTCAGCGAGCAGGTTTCCGGCGTGAAGAACGCTGACGTGGAGCCATCGATGGCCTTCTGGGGTGCGCCGGCGCCCTCTGTAGATATCTGCATGGGAGCCTTGCCGGCGGCCACATTGAGAACTGTGCGAGAGAGAGAGCCCAGGGAGAGCGAAGGAGAAGAATAAATAATGAAATTGATGGTGCGGTGAGGCTGTTATGAATTGTCTGTCTGTCTGTCTGTCTGTCTGTGGCCATCCGAATGGTTCCCAGAGTGGGCTCAAGGCCCGCCTAATTGGCCAGGGACAGGGGGCCCTGACACGGTTTGTGGCCAAAACGAAAAACGAAAAACAAAACGAAAACCAGACAATGTTCTGCGTGGCAATGTTTGTCAAGAGCTCGCGATTGGACCTTCGCCGAAGTTCTGGCCATTGTATGCGTCCGTTGTGGCGGCAGTCAAACAGCCAAACAGCCAAACAGATCGAGAGCCATACAGAGCCAGCAAGAGAGGCTGCCTGTGACTCTGCCTTTGCCTTTTTAATGGCAAAAAGCAAAAGCAAAAGTGAAATTTAATGTTGGCCCAACTTTTACTTGTCCCGGGCCTAATTACAGCGCTCGCTACGCACTTCTGCGGCATTGGGATTCATTAATCAGATGCATCTGTCGGATAAGACTGGTCGACCACTGAGCGCGACTGAGTTTCAGTTTTCAGTTTTCAGTTTAAGTCTTGAGCTGTAGCTGGAGTTGGAGAGGGGTACGCGCTCAGCGGCTCATGACGCACTCTTCAAGAGATCGCCAGTTGTAGAAACGCTGTGTGGCTGCTTTCTAACCCCCCCCCCCCCCCACCACCACCACCCATTTCTCCCCCTCTCTCTGTGGGGCAGCAGCAAGTGTGTTTGCTGGTGTGACAAATGCCTTTTAATTGCATTTAATTAATTTCGTATTGCTTCCAATGCCACGGCAGTGTCTTCCTGCTGTGTCATGTCCAATTCGAATTGGAATCCAAAATACCAAAGCCGCTCCCAGCTTCCCAGCTTCCCAGCTGCCCAGCTCTCAGCAGCATTCCAGCAGCAGCAGACAGACGGCTGCAGCAATTTTCAAGTCGGAAATCTTTGCTTTTGCTTTGTTTTGTGCCTCATCAAGTTGCAATCAGCCAAGGCAGCAGGGGGCTGGTGGCTGGAGGCTGGTGGCTGGAGGCTGGTGGCTGGAGGCTGGTGGCTGGTGGCTGGAGGCTGGAGGCTGGTGGCTGAAGCCAGGGGCATGCCAAAGGGCAACTGTTGAACAGAAGCAGCAGCAATCTCTTGGAATCTATTTGAGAAATTAATGATTCGAAATGGAGCTAGTTTTGAAGGCATTCAGGAACCGATTGCAGCCAGAAAGACATTTTCTGAATCGATTTCAATTTGGCTTTCGTCGCCTTCTACTCGTACAGTGCCATATTCCAGCTGGGAAACGCCTCTGGATTGATTGATCGATCGATCGACTGGATGCCAGAATGAATGGGTCAAGGCTGCTCCAGTCCAGTCCAGTCCAGTTCATTCATTCATTCATTCACTGATTTGTCTGATTTTTGATTGGGAGAATACATTTGCTCTGCTTATGTCAATCAATACCAGTTTAACGGAAGTCCATGTCCACATACTCGTCGAGCGGTATTCATTTAGAATACTCGTCGTGTATTTGTTGACTCTTTTTGTTGTTTTTGTCTGTGTTTCTGTTTCTGTTGCCACACAGCCCCCCGTCCCCACACACGAGTCCGAAAAAGTGGGTCAATCTGCTGGTCGAGCGCGGCCTGGCCTCTCTTCGCCGCTCGCTTCTCGCTGCTCGCTCTCTTCTGGCCAACACACGCATTCGGCTTTAGCCCAATTTCGCGCATTTTGTTAATCATGTTTCACTTTTGGTTAGCCCGTCGTTTGCTTTGCTTCACGACAACTTTGCATTGGAAATGGTATCGGAATTGGAATGCCATTTGTTGGCCTCTCTTTCGCTCTCTATTTGTACGAACAGCCAGTGACAGAGAGAGAGACAGAGAGAGAGAGATTTTGAGAACGCTTCAAATTTTGTGTTTGCTTTGCTTTGTGGTGAAAGTTGTTCCCCCGTCCCAGTCCCAGTCACAGTCCCAGTCGGTGTCCAAGTCCAAGTCCAAGTCTGAATCAAAGTCGCGTCCGAAGGCGCTAAATGAGTTGACGAGCAGCATGTTCGTGTTCAGAGTCTTTGGTTCGGCTTAGATGCTGGCCTAAACGGAGACTAAGGAGCTACTACTACTACTCACCGCAGAAGGGGATGCCCTCGGGCACCCACTGCCCCTTGTCGCAGACCCGTCTGGCCGGTCCTAGGAGCTCAAAGCCACGCTCACAGCTATAGGAGGCCACCGTGCCCTGGGTGAGATTCGCATTCGAGAAGACCACGCTGCTGTGCGCCGGAGACCCGGGAAAACTGCAATCGGCATCTGAAACAGAAAGGGAGAACACAGAACACAGAAGAGAGGATTAAATTATATGGTAATAAATTATGGAGAAATATTCTTTGATTGTTTGATTGCCGATTCGGATTGGGGAGTTCTCTTTCGCTTGCCACATCTCGCACATTGTTGCAGTGGCCGTGGCCCCAAGCAGGCGGCAGGCGGCAGACACAAATCAATTTGATTGATTTCCCAATTACGGAATCGGAGAATCACAGATTCCCCTCGAAGAATCTTCCAATTGAGTTGCCTTTCCGATCATTTATCAAATGTTTTTTTCTCATGATATAATTGATTAAATATTGACTTAGCTTTCTGTTTGTCTATTAATTAATAAAATTTATATTCAAATCTTTTCTGTGGAAAGAACTTTACAAGACAGAGATCCCTTCGGATTACCCTTGGATACTCCCAGTGGGCGAGATAAATTGGATTGAGTGGAGACTTATTGGATTTTGGGAGCAATTTACAAGAAAAGAAAACCTCTTGTCAGCGAAACTCGAGTCGAGTCATGCACACGACATGTAAATTGTTTTTGGTATTTTTTGGCATTGCATATTTTACGGAACTTTGGGTTCCGCTGGGCTCGAGATACATTTTTCGATGTGTGCATTGCTTGTCGCCTCGAATATTGAATAATTAAATAATTAAATAATAATAATAATTATAATTAAATGTTGTACATAAATAAATCTCAAAATGTTGTAGATTCCCAGATGGAATTTATTCTGGAGAGGCTACGATTCTCAGCCGTGTAATCATTGATCTTGGATAAATTCCAAGAGGTTTCTGTTTTATCTGAACATGTAGTATCCCCTGTCCAGATCTCCACCGATCCGACTTGTCGGGTGATTCGTGGTGTGATTGACAATTAAGCAAGTTCCGTTCCAGTTTGGTCACTCGACGAGTCGTCGCGACGCCGCCTGGCAAATATCTCTGGCATGCAAAGATTGCAAAACGTTCTCGACTCAACTCGACCGAGTCGGCTGTTTGCAGTTTTCTGTTTGTTGCAGTTGCAGTTGTTGTCAATGCAAAGCGTGAGAAAATTGCAGCAGCAGCAGCAGCGGCAGTGGCTCTGGCAACAAAAACAAAAAAAAGCCATCAATTTAGTTGTTGCTGCTGCTGCTTGTACGAGTATCTATGCAAAAATGCGAGCCATGTGCAGCAATCAAATGTGTTGCTGTTGCTGCTGCTGCTGCTGCTTGTATGATTAGTTATTCAATTGAGCAGTTCCCAGGCCCAGACTTGGCCAGTGTCATGGGTTTGATTCATCCCGTCCGCAGTCCCCGGATCTGGAGGCTGGTGGCTGGATGCTGGCGATCGTTCTTTTCCCGCTCAGAGCTGCTAAATACAATTTTGCATAATCGGAGCTGATGCTGAAGCGGAGACTTGAGCTGCAGCTGGAGCTGGAGCTAGAGCTGGCCGTCTCCAGGCAGTGAGGCATGCCATAAATGGTCGAATAACTGCAACATCATTTGACCAGACCAGCAGCAGGGCAGCTTTCCAGTTTCCAGCTGCCAGCAGCAAGCAGCAAACAGCAACATGTTGTTGCTACACATTTCCAGATGCCTCTCCGGGCCATAGCAGCTTCTTCTTCTGGCCTCATCTGGCTGCCAGGCTGCCTGGCTGCTTGGCTGCGCTTATCCAACAATCTCAATCACAATCCCCAATGCCAATGCAATTTCATCATAACGGTCTTCAAAAGCCACTCCACTCCACTCCACTCGACTCCACTCCACTTCTGAGCTCCCCCCCCACTGAGGCATAAACAAATACAAAAATTAGTTCGGGCAAATTGAAATTAACAAAAGCAAAACGCAACTTTAAGCGAGTCATTTGTCAGGGGTAGGGGGGGGGGCTTGTGGTGGAGGGAGGGGCAAACGCAAATTAAGAAATCAAGTTCATAGCACAACAAATTCCATTCGGTTTCGGTTTCAATTTCGGCTTCAGTTACAGTTAAAGTTCCACCAAAAAAAAAAAAAAAAAAAAAAACAAAGGCACTCAGAGAGAAGAACCAGCCGGCCAAGAAGTGATCGAAGTGCAGGATACCCTTTACCATAAAAATAATAAATGTACTACGGTATCAAGGGACATAATAAAAGGGCATAAATATGTACATGGAGGAATGACTGAGACTAATTGTCTGGTAGCAATGGCAAGGGTATTCCCAATGCGAATACGAATACGAATCGAGGAAGCAGTAGCAGCAGCAGCAGGAGAAGAATTAGCAGAAGACTCCCACGAGGTGAGTGCGTCAAAAGAAACCGAAAAAGCAACACTTTGGTATATACACGTATAAAGATCGTAGGACCGACCGACCGAAAGGTTGCCGTTGCCCAGTCGGCCATGCATGACAATGCGGCGGCGCGGCGGTGTCTCTGACTTGGGGGCATGGAATGGGAATGGGTATGGGTATGGGTATGAGTCTCTCTGGCGAGTGAGTGAGTGGGGGAGTGAGTGAGCGAGTGAGCGAGGCCAATACCTTAAAGTGCAAAGGCAGTAGTTACTCGTACTAGCTGCAGCTTAAGGCAGCTTGTTGTTGTTGTTGTTGTTGCCCGCTTGTGTTGCTGGGCACTGCTTTCATTTGCTTTCTATGCGGCGCGAACCCAGTGAAAGTGATATCCCGCATACAGACAGATAGACAGACAGACAGACACACGAGTAGTACCCCAGCCAGTACGCCAGTTATGTGCAGCACGCTACCATTGACAAAACAACATTAGCAATTTGTACAACAACACAACCACTTGTATTCGGTATTCGGTATTCGTACAGCATTCGTATGGGTGTGCAGGGGAGTGAAGGTGAAGGTGAAGGGGGGGGGGGGGGAGACCGACTGCTCGGTCTCTCGTCTTTGAATATTCATTGCGCGCGTCTTTGCCTTGATAAAAAAATAATATAATATATAATCATAATAGCAGTTATAATTTGAAACTTGTTTCGGACATGGATCGGACTCACTCCCAGATCGTTGCTGGCCGTAGCTATTACCGCTATTGTTGCTGTAACAAATCACCCATCAACGCCTCGGCCAGGCCTTTTCTTTGATTACTTTGGTTGGCTGTTGCTGCCACAATTTGTTTAGCATTTCGAGAGCGGAGACAAAAACAAAATACATACCTACATATATAAATACATACATACATATGTATGTATGTATGTACCTCGCTTATGAATCGAAATTTCAAGTGAAAAATTTCGATTGAAGGAAACGAATAGAAAAAGCGAAAGCGAAAGCTGGCCAGCCGCAAAGGTTGCAATCAATTTGCGGTTTCATTTTTCGCAAAGTTTTTTATGCTGCCAAAAATAATAGGCAGTGCCCAGGGATGAGCCAGAGCCAGAGCCAAGTAGCTTCGATTTCTTATCCGCAGCCCATCTGGCATTCGGCTAGCAATTGTTGCTTAGGAAAAACCACACGCGAAAGATGTCTAAGATCTCTCAAATCAGATGAACCAGCGGCAGCAGCACATTGCAGCACCACTGGCCTCTCCTCAGTGGCCATTATCACATAGCAGCTACGCAACTTTCTATCGAGCTAATGGTGACCCCAACCCCAGCGCAAGCCCAGGCTAAGGCCCAAGCGAAGGCCTCTCATTCCACATTCCTTTGGGGCATACACCAGAGTCGAGTCCGCAATTTGCGTATGTCGGCTAATTTGATTTTAAATGCGCGGCGGCAACTCTTTGGAAGCGTGCGCGAGGCAAGGGCCCAGCTGCGTTGCAGTGCATCCGAATGAGGCGCAAATGTCTTGTCCATGCAATTAGCTCGCCGCTTGCTTCATTTCGCCTCCCATTGTCTCAATCTACATCTAGATCTGCATCGGCGATCTCCATCTCCATCCCAAACTCTATTTCGGGCTCTGGTTTGACCCGAACGCTAATTATCGTTATAATTAGAGCCGGTGCGCGTGTGGGGGGCGGGGAAAAGGGTACCTACGATTTCTGTGGTATTTTCTGCATTGAGTGCAGTTCTGGGACGTCATGCGCTGATTGCTGACAGAGGCCCACGCTTCGTCGACTGCTGCTGCCTCTGCTGCTGCTGCCTTCCGAAGAAGCATTCTCCGCTTCAATTACGAAATTGGTGAAAAGTGCAAGTGCTGGGCCAGCTGCCAACTGCTACCTGCCACCTGCCGCATGCCGCATGCCGCCTGCCAGATGGCCCCATTGCGATATTTATCATTATTTCCTCAAGTGAAAAATTCCCCAACTCAAAGAAGTCAACAATTTCCCTTCCTCCCCAACACCAAAAAAAAAAAACAAAAAACACAAACGAAAAATAAAAAGAAAACGGTTCAAACCGTTAGCCCATCTATCGGCCGACCATTATATGACCATTATGATGATGGAGGAGCTTCGTGGCTCTGTGCGGCTCTGTGTCTGTTGCTGGAGATGCCGTTTGAGGCTGATTGGTATTGGATTTACATAAATTGGCGACCAGTTCTCCCTCTCTCACTCTTTTGGGATGGGGATGGGGGGGGGAAAGAGTGTTCTGCTCTCACGCAGCTTCTGCATCGCCTTCTCCCGCAACGCTTCTCCGATTGTCTTGACCCAGTTCGGTGGGGTTTTTGTTTTGAGGCTGTGCTTGTCGGCCAAATTAGTAGAACCTCGTTAAAAGCACACATGGAGAAACCCGACAGCAGAAGCAGCAGAAACATTTCGCAAGTGCTTCGCAAGTTTGCGCAATCTGCAGTTGCTGTCTGCCGTCTGCTGTTACTGTTTGGAGTTTGGATGCGCCTTTGGCTTGTGCAAGCACCGGACTGCACAAAAGTTCGTTGCCCAAGTCTTTTGATTTGAACTTCCGCTGTGGCTGCGGCTGCACAGGGTATCTACGTAGTCGGCGACTACGACTATGACTAAGACTACGACTGGACTGGTCCTCCTCTGGTCTGCTGTCCATTCTTGCCTGTTGGTTCTTGGCGTGCCTTTTGGAATTAATTGCGCATAAAAATTGCCCATCATGCGCATTAAATGAGACATCAAAGAACATCT